TTGTATTTTTCATAATTGTTTATTTTTTATTTTGCAATTGTAGACTATATTACGAATAATTTTTGTTTTCTTTTTATCATATACTCATAAATGGCTGCGTGTGTGTGTGTATAATTGTGTTATTATTATATTTGAAATACTCAGCAAAGATTTTAACAATTTTGTTATTTATTTTCTTTTGATTTAATACTAAATCTTTCTTTTTTATTATATCTTATGTAAATTATGTGTTTGCGTGTAGCAGCCGCTAAAGCTGCTTTAATCATATATATATATTAATATATATTTAATTTATATATATATATATATTTAAATATATATAATATATATAAATATTATATATATATTATAGATATGTATATATATATATATATATATATGAATTTGGTCACACTAAGAAAACACAATTAAGTAAGGAATTAATGGCAATCGATATTTAAATGCGACATTTTTGAACTTGCTTAAGATCAGATCAAGAATGATTATTGAAATTATTTAAAGGATATTTCTTGATTTACTTCAATGTACACTTAAGCATTTAGTATTAATACTGAAAAATTTGCATATTTTGCAAAAAAAGGGGGAAAAACAAAAATTCAACCAAATCGCATACCGGTATATATTTACAAATCGGATAAAATTACTTCAGGAAGATATCTTTCATTAATAAAATGCTTGAGTATGCATCTCATTCAATCATTAATTACATCACATATGCGTCCAGTAAGGTAAACGGTTCTAAAACTCCCGTCTTTTAGATTCTGATCTGAACCAAATCGTAATGGAACAATCTAGGAGTTAGTTTTCAGCGACTAATAGCCATGAAATTGCATTTCTTAGTTAGCACCGTTAGTAATCAACGAAAAACCGTTAATTCAATTAAGAAAGTCAAACACAATTAGATTTAAGTTAAGAAGACGACTTTCGTAAACGAAGCTTGAAGGTTTTCATACTAAGCACCAAAGAGTAAAGGAATCAGCGCCATTTATTATAGAAAATTACATCAAATTGTCTCAATTTAAAGAGACTTGATGGGGCGTCTTAGCACCTTGAGAAAAACTTTCTTTAAAACTTGAACAAAAGTGTACCTTGTATATCGGCCCCGAGGTCCTTTGTAAAATCCAATCACAGCAAACGCACGCGCCAATCAAATGCGAAAAGGGAGTGCTAATCATCGATATAAGCGTACATTTATCTAGAATGCACTTAGGTTTGATTATCACTAAAATTAAATCCAAACTCACAAAACCGCTTAACACCCTTAATGAACCCAAAAGATAAAGTACGACATTATTAACCAGTTAACTGTGTTAAGCTCTTTGCAAAAAGTGCATTTAAATTACATCGCAAATGACGAGTATACGCGTCAAATTGGATTATTATGAAAAAATTGGATAAATTGATATGTTCACACATCCTATAATACATTATTATGGCAAATACGCGTTCATAACGATAAAATTTTATGAGAAAATTCAACAAAGACAGATAGACGGACCGTAACGTATTTGTTCGTCACAACACAAAACTTTCTATTTTTTTTCATGACGTATATATTCGCTTACATACGATTAGCTCGTCAAGGGCTTTTTTTTATCCACAAAGTATTCATTGGGAGTCGGACGTAAATATATTTTGTTAGATCAGCAAATTCATATGCTATTAGATGCACCTACGCGAAGACAAGATCCTTAAGGCAATATAATTTTTTTAACTTATAATTACTATTAATCATAGGCAGCCAGACACAAATGCAATGTTCTGTTCGAGCAAAAATGATGCTAAGCATAACACCGCTATTGAAACTGCCCGCATTGCCCTAAAGATTTATGCTGGAATTCTCTAATTCTACTCTTAACAATACGTACGGACAACCAAACAAATGAAAACTTTATAACTCAGTTATAGGCGTAAGCTACTATTTCTCAACTAACTGAGCTAATTTCTTAAAAAAATAAATACCTACGATATGATCGAGAAATATATCGAAATGTCTTTTGTCCTTAACACAAGTCGTGCATTTGCTCGACTAGACTCTGTAAAATTTCAATGAATACATTTTATCACTTAAGAGCGTGGTCTGTGATTTGTTTCAATTTTGTACTGAAAATGAGCAAAATCAATCTTTACCTTGGACCACCCGCGCTAAACTTATCTATAAAAATTTTAAATCACATCGCTGGTAATACACTTTTAAATTAATTAACATCACTTCTACATGACTCTGAAGAATATTTGTACAAAGTGTTGTGTCAATGTAGACCGCAAGTTGCCGGACGAAACAAGCTTAGTTTCAAAGTTATCCTTGTTTAAAAATATATATCTATATTTATTTTAATATTTAGAGATTATGAATACTCCGTAAGCAGACGGACGAACATATCTGCCTCAGTCCTCTTATAGAGCGCGTCTACTTGCTTTATTGAGTTTTTTTGGAGCGAAAAGACCAATCCCGCCTTATTCTTTCATAGTGCCCTTGCTTCTATTGATATCAAATTTTTCGAGAAAAGTTTTCTAAATAAAATCCAAATCAAATAGTGCAAGTAAATATGTGCGATAATGAAGATGCAGTCTGCTTTTTTCCTAATTTAGCTTTCTTCTGTTTTTATTATTTGAAAGATAATTCTTGCAAAAAAAAGAAAAAAAAATTGCACATTATTGTTGTGTTTTAGTTTTCAATACATACAAATTTAAGCTCATTTATTATAGGGGAATTGTGAGCTAAAAAATTAAAAAAAAGAGCTTTACATTTATTCTATTATTCGAATTATCAATTTTGTTCCTATGCTTTGCTGGCATTTATTTTGTTTTTTCTCTTTGATCCAAAGTAAAAAATAAATAAATAAATAAATTAGTTAAAGGTTCGAGAGAGGTTTTCATTTTTTTTTTCTTCTTTTTCCTCTAATACATATAATTTTCTATGTGTTTTAGTTTCTGTTATCTTTTTTTTAATAAATGTTTACACTAAGATTTTTGCTTTCCGTTCTCTTAAATACAATAAATGTTAAAAATGTTATGCTTTTCTTTAATTTATTTATTTATTTAATAAATTTTTTTTTGTTTTCTTCTTCATTTTATTTCTGTTGGTATCAAATATTTTTTTATTCTCTTCCTTTTTGTTTTTGTTCTTTTTTTTTTTCAAAGTGCTTTAAAATATTTTCAAATTTTCTATATTAATTTTTTCAGTTTTCGTTTTTATTAACTTTGTTTTTTTTTCGTTTTAATTTTACAAAGAGCAATTAAGAGAGGTCTCGTGGGAGGGGAAGGGAGATCTACTCCGTTTTTTTTGTTTTTTTTTTTTAATGAAGAAGCACGAAATAATAATAATAATAATCATAATAATAAAATACTAATAATAATTCATTACATTTAAATGTGTTTGTGTGTGTATATATATATATATATATATTTATATAAATATATATATATGTGTGGGTGTCTGTTTAGGTATATAATGTTTCGTAAGCGGATACTTGTGTATTAATTTATATTCTAATTTAATTTTAATTAAACCCTTTATTTCAATATTTAGTTTTTCTTCTGCAAGCAACTTTTGAAACAAACTTCTAAACTGTGTCTATTATAAATTTTTTATTAGTGTGGAAAAACTTTAAATTTTTACTTTAAAAATTTCTACAAATACTCCGTAAAAGTATTGAAATGTAGAAATTTTTCAATAGTGTTTAAGTGTATAAGTTGTAGTATAATGTGTGTGGCTGCTATATATATATATATATATACATATATATATATATATGAATGGGGGAGTGTTTAATATTTAATATATTTCCTTTATATTTAATTGAAAATTTTTTATCGATTTCATTTTAATTGTTCACATTAACATATTAACTGATGGTTTTTTTCTTTGTTTTTTTTTTTGTTTTTTTTTTTCATTTTAATAGTTTATTAAATTTTATTTTCTTCTGGTTTTTGTTTTTTAATTTTTTTTTTATTCGATTTAATAATAGAAAACTTGTCCTGGTTTCTGTCTTTTACGTTCTTCAAGTTTACGATTAATTTCTTGTTGACGTTCAATTTTACTGAGAGCTCGAGCCACATACAAATATTTATCACCCAACTGCTTACCGTTGAGAGCAATAACAGCAGCAAGAGCCGATTGGGGATTCTCGAATGCTACAAAACCAAAACGTTTGGAACGGCCCTCTTCATCGGTCATTATCTAAAAATACGAATTCAAAAGTAAATATGATTCGAATTTTGTACATAAAAATGTATAGAAATGTATACGGAAAAATTCAAATTCGGCAATTGTTCCCATACCTTTAGCAACTATTTATTCAAGAAAATTTTTGATCGAAATAGGCGTGCAAAATATGCAAGAAATAAAGCAAAATTTGACTATTCAGCAATCATTTCATAACAATACCGATCGATAAATTTGACTTTGAGGAAAATTGTGTTGGAGAAAATTGATTATCGGCCTATATTTCTAGTTAGTTAACTGTGGTTTTTACCTTTTTTGCAAAAGACAATATGGTATCGGAAACATCGAACACAAAATTTTAAGCACGTGCTGAAGATTTGGGGCGAGGTAAACCCAATGCAATCAGTAAATTGCAATCATAGCGGATACTTATTTGTCCTATATTCAGGTATATTCGGTTAGTTACATTCTCATTGGCATTCTCATTTAAGTAGACGCCTTAGAGAGATTCTTTTTAGTTTAAAGGGAACGGTCTTTTTATACTCTACACCATTTATGGTATATTAATTTTGCACGAATGAACTAAAGATAAACATTTATTATCTATCGATTCATTCTCTTTCAGAATCGAACCAAGCTTGTCTGTCCGCCCGTCCATTCGTTTGGTTTTCTTTGCTCGATTCAAATTACAATGTTCAAGATATTTTGATGAAGTTTAGTTTGACATAAAGACGTGTTTTGCCCCAAGGACAAAGGGTATTGTTAATGGCTCGGATCGGACCGCTTCCAATATAAAGCCTTATTTTGTAAAATCGTTATATAAGTGACTGTATTAAGCGAAATGGTATGGTATGGGTTTCTTAATGATGGGCCAAAATGGATTCAAATAAATTCCATTGCAAGCACTTATAAACTATTTCCTATAAAAAAATTTCTGCTATTAGACATATCATGACTTAGAATCTCTTATAAAAGCGCTGTAATCGCTGAACATTGTTTTCAGTGTAATAAGCGAAGGTTTGTACAGATTCGAAAATTGATTACGTTCTGGACTCTTTGGATTTTTAAAAAAAGAATATTTAATCTTAGCGACAACAATTTTGCTAATAAAAGATATTTTCCGTAGGACCACAACATTCTCGTTTAATAATTTTTTTGTTTTTTCGAAGTTGCAGTCGTTTCGATGATTGTGTTTGTGCATTTGTACATACTTGTATCGGATCGGATGCTAAAGATCAGGCAACAAAAAAAAAATGTTGCGACTATAAATGAAGGATGTTATTGATAACCTAACTTTACCGCTTAGAGATTTCTGCAATAATATCTTGCCATGAATTTACATCTACATAATATCGCGAATAAATTTGTTACCGATCGATTTCAATTTAAAAGACAAGGACACGCAATTTTGTCGCATAAGTTCTAAGCCATAGTAAAGAATGACTATTTCCAAAGACGGAAGGATACCAACTTTTGATTTTACTTCTTCGAATTACTTAAGTTGCGATTAGAGCAACTTCGCAAAGATACGTCAAAAATTCATCTTTAGAAGGGGTTAAGCGCTCTCCTGTTGCATTGTATTGTATGGTACGGCAACGATAATACGATTTGTTTGAGCGAGTTTGGGATTCATCAAATTTTCTTTGTCCTTACCTTACTTACCTAAACTAAAATTATTTAAAGCTTAACCTCTAATGATTTTTGAACTTCATGTGTTCTCTCTCACACGTCTACTGTTGTTAAAGTCCCAACCAATTTCTTCCGCTTTCGAATTATGAAAAACAATGTTCATTGTGAAACACTACGCTGTTGCAAGATGCTATAAATAAAACTAAAAATGTTTCCTTTTCATTTTATAAAGAGAATAAAATGCAAACAAGTGGAATTTCGTAATAATAGAGAAAAAAATACAAGAAGTTTTCGACTCGGATGCAATAATCATATTAATTTATTTTCACCAACAAGTGAATTAAAAAGCACATGTTCTGTTTCCATATAAGAAAAAAAGAAAATGTTTGGTAACGTTAATCGAAAAAAAGAAGATTCAATTTCGGATTTTAAAAAAAGCATATGTTCTCTTCACCTAAATCACATGCATGCTTTGAAATGTGGCAAACCAAAAGTCAATATGGGTTCAAGGTTTCTTTTGTCAGGCATAACTTAAAAGTTTGTAAAAGCAGCAAATGAATTAGAAGAACAATCACCCCGTGAGCTGTGTTGCATGCACGCATGCAGCAAAGGTATGGCAATGGACGGACAAGAAAATTGTAGAACATATATGGGGGATGAGGGTTCAGTTGGTTGACTTGCTTGATATTTGATATAAAATAATTAATTATGACGGCTAAACCTATATGACACTATCTACTAGCAAGTGTTCTAAATACATCGGCACAAAGGAAATACAATACGAATCGCAGCTGGAAACAAGGAAATATTTACAAAGCAAGCGCAGAGAGCTGTTGCTACTATTGGTGCGAGAGCAAAGGAGTTAGGAGACTTAGAAATGATAAAAATGGTAGAGACAAAAAAAGCCATTGAATAGAAAGAGTACGAAGGCAAACAGGAAAAATTTCAACACACATGTTTGGGTTTCTAAATATAGGACAAGCATACAAGTAGAAGTTATTATTTCTTTTGCTCATACAACAATTACATACTTTCATAGCTACAAAAGTATATTTATGGGCATGCATTCTGTATAGTGGAGGGATATGCCGAAAAAATGGTTGTTGTCAAACATTAAAAGATACTTTAATCAAAGCCTACCTTATGACTTGTTATACGACCGTAAGGTTCAAACATTTCTTTCATGTTTTGTTCAGAGAAATCCTCATTAAAATTTTTGACATATAGATTCCTGAATTGCGTGGCTTTTTCTTGTTCGCGATCACGCCGTGGTATATATTTAACCACATGCACCTTCTGGCTGTTGCAGAGTATGCCATTTACTTTTTCAATGGCAGCGCGGGCTGCCTCTTCTGAATCGAATTGTACAAAACCATAACCGCGCGAATTACCATGTTCATCCTTAGCCACATTACAGTTCAATATATTACCAAAGGCCGAAAAGGTATCATAGACAGCTTTATTGTCTATAGAACGTTCCAGATTTTTAATGTAAATTTTTCCGCTATCAGGTGAATTGGAACTGGTTGCACTACCCGAAGAGCCGCTGCCTGCTGAAAGATGCGGCGAAATCGAAGTGATATTGCCCGCACCCAAACCAATGGGGGCATGAGGAGTACGATTTAAAATACTTCCTGGCAAATGATGATTATTATTTGCACCAGCATGATGACCGCCGTGAGCGTTAAGATGATGGCTTAATGGGCCAGCCCCGGTAGCAGCAGCAGCATGGTGGTGCAACTGTTGCTGAGTAGCATGGTGAGCAGCAAGTGGATGCCCGGCTGCTGCCGCCAAAGATGCATGGTGGTTTAGAGCCGATTGTTGTTGATGATAGTGATGATTTGCGGCCGGATTGCCGCGGAACGTCATTGAATTTACAAACATAATGGGCAAAGTTGGGGCTGCTGCTGTTGTTGTAGTACCCGGTGGCTTTCGAAGACCGCTATTTGGATGGATTAAACTGTTGTACACCGTATGGCTATTGTAGTTGAGAATTTTGACGGCTTTTTCAAAACCACCAACCGCAAAACTGACAGCAGGAATATGAATTTTTTATATCTCTTAATAAAGAAGCCACCTGTATTTCAATTTCTATATTTCTTTTTTCAATTAAAAACCTGCTACACTTTGTTTGCTGCTTATTTTTCTGTTTTCCAACCAAACGAAAATTTATTTTCTTTTCAAGTTTTTTTCATTCACAACTCTCCAAATACATATATTTATTTTTCTCACCTTCTCTCTTTTCTCAATTATCACAAATGAAAATGGCTTTCACTTTTTTTTCTGGGGGCCCTTTTTGCAATATATAATTTTTTAGTTTTTGCCGTGAATAACACAAAAATTATTTGTTGGTGATGAGAAACGTTTACAATAATATTTTCTTAATGTTTTTTGTAAAAAAAAATTTAACTAATACGTTAAATACTCGATCAAAATTTTACACAAATTACAAGCGCAGCAAAAAGTGCAGCAGACGAAAATTCTTTTTGTGATACTCTTTCAACTCGATTCGTGTTAAAAGATTAGTGTTGCCAAGATCAGAATTTTTTGTCACGTTGACAGCATTGTTGTCACAGCTACTCTATCTCATAAGAGAAAAGGAGACAATTATTTTTAGAATATTTGGAAATATTTTTGGTATATCAGACAAAACTCAATTAACAAGTGTTATTAATGAAAAAAAGCAAAATCTATACATAATTATACTTTCTTGTGAAGAGTTCTTAGGGGTTGTGCGATGTAAAATAGAAAATAAAATTTTCATTAATTTTTGAATTTGACAACACTGAAAATACAAAGTAATAAAAAGCAAAAAGTTTTCACTTGTGCAAGAATTAAAAATCAATTTATTAAATTTCAAAGATGGATGAAAGCATAGAATCTAGTCCTCAAAGTTCCTACAAATCTGTATATCAGACACGAATGCAAAGGAAACATAAATTGCAGAAACGTAGCCCATGTTTTCTTCAGTCTAACGAAAATGATGAGAAACTGCGCCAAGCTGCTCTACTTGATTTCTACGACAACATGAGTGAAGAAAGTTGCTTGGACGGCCCAAAAGAATGTGATATTAATAAAACATTTGTAATTCAAAAAGATATCGCTTTAGAAAGAAGCGTGAGTCGATACGAAGATGAAATAATGTCCTTAGCAGATTCCCGGTCTTATGTGCAAGCGCCATTAGCCAATTTTGACGATTTCACACCCTCGCAAAAATTTACGCCATGTCATGAATTAGTATCACAGTCTGCCAGGTTATCAACAAGTGGAAGTGAATTTCATATCACTGATACAGACTTAATCGAATGTTGCAAGAAAGTGGAAGTTATGATGAAAGAAGTAACCGACATAGACGCACTACAAAGTGCTCGTGATGACAAGAACAATAAGTCAATAGTAGACATAATATTTGAGGACTTTTCTACAACGCCTTTTAACAGTCCTATAGTATCACCTGAGAGTAAATTAAGAAATATGGAAAGGAGCCCTTTATTTATTTTAATGGAGAAACCTAAACGCTACTACAGCCGCAAATTTAAAGAAAAGGTGAAATCAAATTTGGAGGAAAAATTCAAGGCCGCTATTGATGACAATATGAGTACGTGTTCATCTTCATTATCTTCATTATCCATTCAAGGTGATTTTACGAGTATCGATGAAAATGAGAGGATTGTTTTACCAAATACTTCTCAGCATTTATGTGAAAATCTTTTGCAAATAAGTAATTATTTTACGCAAAGTTCGAATAACGAACTTAATTTAAGAAAAGAAATTTTGACATCGAAAAGAAAAATCGACGACTCGTGTGAAGTACCGCCTAACATAGTACTTATGATTGAAGAAATTCTTGCTTTAAAATCTAAAAACATCGAGTACCTCGAAAAAGAGCAGGATATTTGCGATGGAGACTTTTTGGGATTTCCTGAGAGGTTGCAATGCAAAAAAGATGAGCATCTTCTCGATGTTTGTAATCAATTCGATGACACTTTAATTGACGAACATATCCTAAATTTGGATTTCAAAAAGTCATACGATTCCACATCAGAAAGTAAGTGGTTCTTTACAGGCTTTTTTTATCCACTCTAACCTTGTACATTCTTGTTTGGAAAGGTTCAGATCGAGGTTACGACAACATCGAGGAAGAGGAGACGTACAAAGTAAATCAAAGTAAGTTGTTTTTAAAATTTGTAAAGAGACAACATTTAAGTTAATCCAAAATTTTTTAGCTTTAGTGCCATCTAATCAGTGTAAAACTGGGATAAGTAAAAATTATCATTGGGATGAAGATGACAATGACATTTTTGCATCCATAAGCACTCAAGAAATCTTACATCAAAACGTGAAGGTCATTAATAATTTTCCCCATATGTCTAAGTTCCCAATAAATAAGCAGATAACTCAGGGTATGGCATTGATATTCCTCACATTTTATTATGGTTACTATTTTCATTGCATTTAAAGGTAACCAAAGAGATAATATTAGTGGGTCCTCTAAGAAATTGGTGCTGAGAGAAAGTAATGTTGCATCAGGACTTCAAAAAGCTAGTGGAGAACCGCTGGAGTTAGGAGTAGGTAAAAACGCAGTTGGCGTGAATGGAATTTTTATTGAAAATGAATGGGAAGAAGTGAAAAGTAAAGTGAATCGAGATGAAGTGGGCAAGGTGAATAATCCAGGAAGTTCGCTTATTTCTGCAAGTTTTCAAACGGCGAATGGTAAAAAAATCTCCATATCGGAAGAAAGCCAAATATCCGTACAAAAAATTCTAAAAGAATTTCAAGACAATTTGCAGGAAACGAATTATGAAACTGAACTAAAAGAAATAAAAGCTCGGATGTCGATTAAAAGTATGAAGTCCAAGTTTGAAAAAACTGCAAACAGCAGTGTGCAAATAGCAAACAAACCAGGCTTTCAAGCGATGTGCGAAAAAGGCAAAGAAACATTTAAGCATTCTATACGAGTAAATGGAGTAGAAGGAATGGAAAATAAAGTTACCTTTAAAATGCATCAAGATAATGTTGGCAATGTCATTAATCCGGGAAGTTCGCTTGTTTCTGCAAGTTTTCAAACAGCGAATGGTAAAACAAAACCCGTATTGGAAAAAGAAAAATACAAAGATATAAAAGATCGCATGGAATTTAAATCTAAAAAAATTGCAAAGGGTATTGCACAAGTCGACAAAACCACAGGTTTCCAAACGGCTAATGGCAAGAACGTGCTCATATCTGAGAAAGGGAAAAAACGTGTGGAAGGCCTGCTAAACGAATTTCATCAAAGTGAAGGTGATGGTGACATTGAGAATAATTTGCTTTGTATAAAAAATAAAGTTAATTCCAAAAAGCAAAGCATGCTGTCTGAAAAAAAAACTTTGAAGACATCGTTAGCAAGTAGGAAAGAAGAAGAATATCACCTCAAGTTGGGCCGCAAATTGTCCACAGATGAGAAAAAGCCAAATATAAAAGTTGAAAACGATGAAGAATGTGGAGAGATGGGAACGGATTATGCTAATATTGTATTAAGTGAATGGGTTCTTACTCAAGACAATTCAAAACAGTTTGCATGTCTACAGGCCGATGATACACCATTGTTGGCTCCTAATGATGAATCCAAACAAACCATTTTAAAATCTCAAAATACTTGGCAACATTTAAACATCGGGCATTCGACTTTAAATGCTCCAATGATGATTCGTAAAAATCGGTTGTTGTCATTAAGTCAAAAGAAAAAAGAACAAACACCGAGCAATCAGCCGGAAGGACCATGTACACCAAAAACGGCTCGAAAACATTTTTTATCGTTATGCAAGAAACCTAGCAAAGAAATTAACTCAACACCCCGAGATCATTCTACATTTCAAAGACAAGAATCCCTACTTATTCCTAACAATTTAAGATCACCCAATGAAATCTGTGAGACTCCTAATAGAAATTTCTTACAAACCGAGACTACGACACCCGAACTAGGGGAGTTTCTTAATAATGCTGTTGAAACAAGTACACCATGTACCAATAGAAAGTTCCCCCTTCAGGAAACGGAAAAAGATCCCGATGCATTTTTTTGGATAAATAGATGCAATTCTTTAAATAATAACAGTCCGATTAGTACCGCCACTCTCTCTGATAGTACCTGCTGTAACTTAAGAGCTAATTCAATAAGTAAATTAACGCCTAAAGAACGAATGGAACGTTTAAGCATGTACGGGCAAGCACCTTCAATGAATCTATCTCCTGTACTAATGGAAAAACGACAAAAGAACTGGCGGCCATCGGGCTTAAGACGTACTCTTAGTAACTCAAAGAAGTAACAATGACAATAAAGAGAGTTAATTTTACTTCTGTCGTATTACTTGTACATAACAATAACGTCTAAAATGTTAATATATATGATTATTGTGATGTATGTACATATGCAAATGTATATAACTAATAAGGTAAGTAATTTTCGCAAATGTATTGGACTACGTTTCCCTTAAATTTAGTTTCGCTGTTCGTTGATTGGTTTTAGTTCCACATATATAAATGAAGAAATTAGGTTAAGCTCATTGCCTAAAATGTGGAAGTAAAAATGCCTTATATTTGGTTTTCATATAGTCTATTATTTAATGCATAGTTAATTTCAATAGTATTTTCTTAATACAAAGAAAATAACTCCAATAACACAAACAAGGTAATAAGTATGTATTTATTTTGGTCTGACAAATCGTGGAAATGTTGGTTAATTATAAAGGTAAGAAAATTCTTTCTTTATCATATATACAAACTGTCATTGTTTATACAGTTGTTCTGCGTAATTTACTTACAATTTCATCATAAATAACCCAATACACGCATTAGGCAGTTTGGTTTTTGACTATTTATTATTATTATCAGTTTACCTTAAAGTTATTTTATACACGTGGCCTTCGTTGCAATAAAAGGTAACCTTTTTCAAAATAAAATCAAAGAAGAAAATAAATTAATTAATTAACTTAATCCTTAAGTTAGGACTATTCTACGGATATCAATACGCAGTTTCTTTCTTTTTCGCGATCTTTTAACAACAATACATAATAATACAATTTTTCAAAATCAGTAGTTTGTCTTTTAACCCCGTCTAATCAGAAAATGTGTAGTTTAACGCTTTTTCATGCTTTTTTAACAGCTCAATACATTGAGGCGAATTTTGTGTACATAAGTTTTCGCTGGTCCTATTTTTCCATTGTTTTAGTACTATTATTAATAAAGCTCCAAAAAAACTTACACCCGATAAATAATTGGAGTGCTATAAAAGTAATATTAACATCATTAAACAAGGCTAAAATAAAGCTGATCAAAGCGATCGTTGTTAACTTGAACATGCCATATGCAAACATTTATTTCTTTTATTTGCAAACATGATGAAGATATGGTTTTTTTATCCATCATATATCAATCATATTTTCTTCATGCTTATTTCCACATTTAAAAAAAAAACCATGTGTTAAAAATAAAGAGAGAAGTCTAGAGTTTCCAGTCATAATTCGTGGATTTTCAGTGTTTCAGTATAAACGCAAGTGAGTGATGAGCCTAAAATTGACTTTGCTCTACATTCCTTATGCAGGATCTAAAATAAATGCTGAGAAAGCTAAGAGAATTATCGTATTTCTGGTTTTTGTTGTAGTTGTTTTTTTAATTATTAAGTTTGTTGCTGGCAACATATGGTGAAATAAAAAATAAAACTTGGCATCATCTTTTCATCATAAAAGTATTAATTAATGTATTGTTATTATAGGTTTCTGCTGTAAGAAATTGTGTCAAATAAGAAAAAAAAAAGTAAAAATTATAGCAGCCGATAAGTCGATAGGAAAACTTCGTTATTAATAGGAAAAACACAAGTTACCTGAAAAAAGTGAAAAAAATTTCAAAGAAAAAAGCAACATTTTCTTAAAGGAGCTTAAGCAAAAAGTTCATTAGAGGGCGATACGCATATATAAAATTACTTCAAATTAGTTTTCTAGTGTAAATATTGGATACATGTAAGTATAAGTTTGAAAAAGACCATTTTCCTCGTCCCGTTAAGCAAAAAAAAAAAAACCGAAAAAAACTCGTACTTTAGGCTGTTATTGTTTTTTTACGCCCCCTTATTATTGCTTTACTTTTGCTGTAAAAGTTTTTAATACATACGTGTACTTATGATTGCATGTATCTTTTTTCTTCAAACGAGTTTTGGACCTATGTAAGAAAGAAGAAGAAATATTGGAATTTTATTAACGTTTTTTTTTAACTATTTCAACACTTAAAAAGTTGTATAGTATATAGAATTATATTTTGCAAATCGTTTATTTACAATTGATATTTATACAGATCAACGATTATTGCGATCTTGGGTCGTACGTCATTAATTTTATGCACATCTGCATGAACGTATCCCTCCGTGCGATTAGATTTCAGTTATGTTAAAAATAAGACTTTCGTATATATTCGATTTGATTTAATATTTTTATAGGAAAATCTCGATGAAAATTACGATTATATTAGGTTCTGTCTCATCTTTTGACGATAGATATCATGAAAAACTTCCTAATCGAAATGTTAACCGCAAAAGTTACATATATTATTAGAATGTTAAATGCTTAAAACAAATAAATTTATTGCATATTATTACAATTTCAGCTTAACATTAATTAAAAAAAAAAGTCTCCAATCTAACAAACAAGAATGGGTGACGAGTTCGATGGCTGCGAATGCGTTTGGTCTCATGCGTATGCTATGCAGCGATTGTTGGCTTTCGTAAGTGTAAAAAAATCAAAAAATTTGACATGTTGTTATTATTTTTTTTGCCTTGTATCAACAAAAATCCAACAATCTTCATTTTGCGAATAAAATAAATTTTCAAAATTTAAAGGATTCGAATTTTATATACTTTTCACTTTAGGTCATTTAATTTATATTTTGCAGATAAGACAAAATCAAAATAATTGCACAGATCATTATTGTGTGGATGGTGAGATGGCATTTCAAATTGAACTAAATATGGAATGATAATTTTCTATAATAATTTCAGCCAGTGACAATTTGCGGCAATCAAATTCAATCAGTATTCCATCAGATGTTGAGGCTCAAGATGATACTAATTGCATCATGATGACCATGTTAATGGTATTCTTTTTAGTTTTGTATCTGATAAGGCCACAATCGCTTATGTCGTTTAAGAACACTGGAAAACGTGGCGGTGGACCAGATGCTGATGGAAACGGCGGAAGCTCTTTGCCACCATCGCAACCGCCACCCGCTCCGCCAGCAACTAACTGAGCTTTAAAGAGCCTAAAGATGAATCGGAAAGAAAAAGGAACTTGATTATCATAATATGATTCGCCCAATACGGAAGTACCAATGGATTTTGTAAATGTAGTCAAATCGTACAATAATATTCAATGTTTTATAAAAAAAAAATTTTTCACAAAATTTATCACAATTTATGCCTACTTCTGTTTTCTCTGTTTTCGTAGATTTATTATTAAATTTAGGTAAAGTATCGACCAGTTAACTAAAATTAAATTAATGCAAGTGCATTATATGGTGTGTGTAAATGTATTTAAATATACAATAAATATATCCAAAAAAAATTTACGTTTTAGTTCGACTAGACGACGACATTCCTTTTATTTTACTAGCAAATAAAAAGTGAAACCAAATGCCTTAACTAGCGTTCGTGCAGGAAACAAAATTCGCGCAGTGTGCAAATTGGAGACATCTATTTTCAAGCCGTTTACATAGTTAGCATACAATAGGATCGACTTTTGCAGCATTTTCCCGCAAATACACGTTTTGTGTGTTCGCGGCTTGTTTTTGGCCTCTTGCTGTAGAGGAGAGAAGATCGTCAAGATGACGTGATGAATAATGAGCCGTCAATTCAATTAAAATACTGAAAAGAGCTATATGTTCGAGTAGGATTTGCAGTTTGCATTGTAATGATGGACAAGCTTGTCTTAAAGGCTGTTTTTCTTGCCATATAAACAGTAACCAGTTTGTATTAAATGTCCATTTTATTGAAAAAAAGAGGTGGTTATCCACACTTAATTCATATGTAAAAGTTTTAATAATCACTCATCCTTGTTATTTAGAGTATGAACAGTATCTCGCACCCTTTTTAAAATTTTTTTCATTTGTGCATATTTTCCCGTAGAATCAGGTAAGTTCTCAAAATTGATCACATCGCTTACTCCGACTTTAAAATTCTCACCCGTTGGCAAGCAGTCGTATGGTGAAAATTTAATTAAAGGTGTGCCTACAAATGATTCTTTTATAAGTGGTTCCGTAGTGTCTTTGTTTTGTGCATTGGCGGGCAATTCACAGTTTGTTTTACTGTTCTTCGCAGAACTGTTTACAGAAAATGAATTCATATTATATTCACTGTCGTCTAATATCAAAACTTCTACACTTGAGTCTTCATGTTCGGTTGTTATGGAGATGTTAGCTTGTAATTCCTGCAATAACAGTTGTTGCTTTGCTTGCAGATCTTCCAGACTAGGAGACTGGGATCTGTCTTCATCGCAATCTATTATTACTTTGTTTACATCCACTCTCTCTTCTAATGTCGGGTCTACGAGGGACATTGGTGACGGCGGCGGTGGAGGTTTATTCTCTACCGTCGACTCCATTAGAGGTACAGGCGGTCGTATAAATTCCAAAATTTGATCACCGCTATCTGCATCTTCAATTTCCATATCTGTTACTAAAAAACATCAGTGACGACTGTTAAACTTCGGGCATAACTAAATATATAATAAATATATAACAATAAAAAAGATAATATAAACACTTACTTTCTAAGGTAGTGGCATTATTTTGGCCTTCTGTAGTACTATTAGAGATATTTAAATCTTTAAGCTTTTTGCGTTTGTAACCAGTCAGGACGTTGTCACCCAAAGATTTAATAAACTCATCCTTTAACTGGCGTTTATCAAATGGAGGCACATTATGGTGTCTGTAATCCTAAAACGGCAAAAACAATGTAATAAAAAAAAATCTGTTCGGGATTTCAGCGTACATCGTAGAAATTTTCACCAGGATATTGATTAAAACCAGGGAAATCAATAATTTTGGAAGCGTCGTATCTGTAAGTTCGGGGCTCAACCTCACCTTCATCTTGATCTGAATTCAAAACAGCAGAGCCCTGTCGAGCAACATGTTAGACTTGAAACAATTTTTGTTAGCAAGAAAAAAAAGAAGGAAATGTACTTACATCCGAATTAAATAGAGTTATTCCAGAATGTTCAACTTTCGCATCTTCCAACCAGCCTGGAGGGTAGCCCAAATACCGCATGCGATAAAAAAAAAACGGTAATTCGCCTCGCTTCAGGCACATTGCTTCTCTTAAATTGTCACTTATACGACCTTGATATTATATAAAAGAGCAATTGAAAAAGTAAAGACAGAATCAAATATTAAAAAAACAACTAAATCGCATTACAAAAATTTTCTTCCAATGGGACAAGAAGTTCATTTTTATGGCCCGTTAAGTACACAGTAGTTTTTTGGGGTGGTTATATTCCTATTTATAATTTTGTAAAAGCTAATATTTGTATCTCCAAATCGGCTAGACGACTTCGAAGTAGATATGCTGAGAAAATTTCTCATTTAACAGATTTAAAGAGGAAATTTCTGCCATTTTCCAGATATAACGAGAAAACTTCTACCACTAAGCAGTTTTTGCGGTGAAATTTCTCATTCATCGAAGCGTATTAAAAATTAGTGTAACATTTAATAAATTAAATTGCTGAAGACAAAGAAGTTTTACGAAAATTATTTTAAAAATTAGTGTAGCATTTATTACTACCTGGCAGCAAAATGTCGCGATAAGAATTTGCTTGTTAAGTACAACTTAAATAAAGAAAATAAACTGATGTTATAAATTTTGAACCCACGACCATTGACTTGTTCGTCGAGATTCCTCGCCTTCGGCTACTCAGGCGGATTCGAATCTCAAGTGCGGTAGAGTTTTTAATAAAAAGCCGATAGCCTTAGATGCTAGTGCTTTAAGAGTTTAGTCTTAGAATTTATTTCTCTGGTGAAATTAATAATAATAGTAATAATAATAAATTTTGAATTTATAGACACACTTAAATCTTTTGTCGAGTGTGTGTTGGTTGTGAAAAGTCGAAAGAGCAATTATGCTTTACTGTTTTTTTGCAAAACTTGGTCGAGTAGTAGTTGAAGTCTTTTAATATATATCATCAGGGTTTGCGAAATATTTGGAATTATTGTACAATGCAAACTTAAACAACCAACCAAGGAGACCAAGACAAATGGAAGAGAAATTTGGCAACGATTCATTATTTTGCTCGTTATTTGGAAGTATAAAGTTGAGTTGTTCTTAATTTTAGAAATACGTAAAAACGTTTGAAGAGAATCGTTCTCAAGGTTCGTTCGGTATGACCCAACTACACTTACATTTTTTTTAGCAGTAGCTTTAAATGTAAGAACTTATCATAAGCTGCACTATAAATATTAAAGTAAAAAAATTTTCCGCACTATGCTTGATCGATGGGTATGTTGTTCAAAATTTCACTATATATTTCCTAATTTTAGTTTATGCTTTAGGCGGTCTGTGAAGTCTACCTCCGTTTTAATAAAATGAATATACTGCGTATCCTTTGCTAGTGTGTTCCGGCTAACGCCTACAAAACATATTCACAGTCAGCTTACGTTTTTTCATCACGCTTAGAAAATGCTCTATATGGGTCAGTTCAGCTCTTACCAGCCGGAACTATTTCCTGATCTAAGGCACACTGGTTAAACAACTCACGTCACTCTTGACATTTGTTAACTCCAAAATTGTATTTAAAGGATGAAGTTAGAAAAAATAATACTGAAACGTTTAAACTTAACTTATCCTGTTTGAAGTAAACAAAAACTTTCTGTGAAAATAAACAAAGTTCAGAAAAATTCTTCCCGCATCATTTTTATCTTGTCTACCTACCTGGCCGCAAATGAGCAAAGCGTTGTTCAACATCAACATGATAACGTTCCGATTTAGTAATAAACTTTTTTGCAGTTCTTATGCGCTTAGGATTACGTGGCACGGGACAATCTTTTAAGCCGTGCTCCGTAGCTCCACAATTGAAGCAAGCACCGCCCTGCTTTGGCCTTTTCATATTGTTTTTTTCTTCGCTCTGTTTCCTTTGCGTTTCCGTCTCTTCATCTAGTAAAACATCTTTTACAGCTCGTTTATAAGAGGGCACTTGAACACTATCCAGTTTTTGAACGGGATCCGTGTCAATTGTAAATAATTCGGATAAACCACTGAGATCAGGCGACTGTTCTTTAACGCGATCCCTTTCGCGTCTTTGTTCTATTTTTCGTTTTATTTCAGAATCATGTTGTTGGTTATGCTTCTCGACACGAATGAGCACTCCGTCTTTCTTGTCTTTGATACAATAATTGATTTCTTTATTGCCTTCGCTGCTGGCACTTTCAAGTTTCCCTTGTATTGCTTCAATAATCAATTCTCCAAGCTCATCGTAGACGTTCTTATGCGAAAATCTAATTTCAAACAAAAATTCTACAGATTCATTCTCATCTGCAAGCTCCCCCTCCTCAATCGAAGAAGTTTGTTCAGAAATTTCTTTTGAAGAGCTAGCTGTCAAGTTTTGTTCTCCTTGAGAACTATCGTCCAATGAAATAGTTGGAATGATTTTTTCAACAGTCGTTTCAGTTGCGCTCACTTGTTGCATTTTATTTGGTTTTTCTTTTATTATTTTTTTTGAAATCTTTATTCAATAAAAGTAACAATTTTTCTCACAAAAATATTGTTTTCTTGTTCTATCAACTCGCAAAGAAATAGATAACAAAGATGTCGAAAACAAATGAAATATTGTTGATTCTAAAGTTCCTACAGTAAAAATAGTGGGTTGCAGTAAAAGTAATTGGATTTGCAGTAACTGTAATTGCGGTTGCAGTGTTTTTGTGAATAATTATCCTATTAAAAGGCTTTTTCTACTGGTTTTCGCTTGGTATACTGATTTTGGTAAAGCCTTTGATTTAATCATAAAGTATCTTCAAACTTCAGGGCTCTGGCTTTCTACTTAGTGAAATGGATAAGCTCTTATTTGCATAGCAGATTATTCATGATTCTGTTTAACTTCGTCATAGCGGATGAATTTTCCATGACGCCTGGCGTTCTTCAAGGCAGCTATTTAGGACCATTTTTATTTAATCTACGCCTTGATGATGGTGATCTCCCCTCGGTGACTAAATCCGGCCAGATTTTAGTGTACGCTGGTAACACATATTGTGCAAACGAGATTACAGTTTTGCAGAGTTGAGAAACCCTTCAATGAGTTAACTAGTGTCTTTGAAGAGTTGAATACCGCCTTTAACAAGTGTAAATGGCATTGCAGATGTATCCCCAACGTTGGACAAAAGTGAGGGTGCTAATCAGGCTGAAGATGGTGAATTAACTGTTAAGTCAACTTCGGTCAACGTATCTGTGGAGTCCATTTTCAAGACTGCGGCCGCTAAGTTTTCAAGGCGAGCTTCGGCTGATCTGCCGATCGCCGGCGATCCTCTTGTGTTCGAGGGAACTAAATTGTGAGGGTGAGGGTGTGGCGAGAGTTCCGGCTGTCCATCAGATGAGTCACTAAATATGGCTTGTTCCTCTGAGTCGTCAGGTGGAGATATTGTTAGTTTTGGCGCTGGTTTGGGGCCAGGAGTAACACGAGCAACTAAATTGGCAAAGCGACCAACTTCGAAGAATAATTATTGAAAAGCTGTTTCTCAGGATGCTTGATTGACTTCCAACAATTGGCGGTGGCACCTGCAAGGAAATGTATTTTTATATCGTGGTTATCGTCTTATACTTCCAAGCAAGCGAATGTAAAGTATGTAGGTAAAAAGCTCTTAAAAGAAGATGGGAAAGAATGTGTTGTATATAAGTTTAGTTCCGCACGTCAGAGAGATATTCCTCTAAATATTGTTTTTAAATTATTTATCCGGTAGATCTATTCGAACAAATTATGTCGACAAAATTTTGTCTTCGGACCGTTTCTATTAACGAATTTGAGCGCTGTCAAAAGAATATCGCTTCGGTGATACTGAAGCCATCAGTTAAACGGTCTAAAAACCGAAGGGATAACTAGAATTTGCTGGAAATACTGTATCAAAACTTTCGTGATCTTAATTTGAAATACGTTTCCGTTAATTCCGATTACCTTATTGTAGCATTTACGGAAACCTGGCTCAAGCTGGGGATATTTGACAGTCAGATTTTTTGCTCAGAGTTTGAGATCTTCAGGTGTGACAAATTTCGCAAAACTTGTGGGGTTAAGCATTGTTTACGATAATATAGCGGTGTGGCCCAGTGAACAATCGATAGTGCTACGCAATTCTAATCTGCCAGGTGTTTCGTGGGTTCTGAACGACGACCGTGGTTATTATATCCCCTTTTCAGATCCATTAATTTACAAAGAGTTTTTCGACGGTGTCCGTGGGCTAGGTCTTTGTCAGCTTAACAACATCTTTAATGTGGATGTGTCCTAAATTGTCTAGCTGGCGATGCATTGTTTAGTCAAGTGATTGGTGATCAACGTTTATTTGCTAAAACGAATTACATCAAACTGAGATACTTGCTGGGTGGCATTGACTGGAATCTATGAAGATATCGATGATTTGTTATAATTTATTTACAGTCAGTTTTTTTCCCCCATTTCCCTCTTGATACCGCTTAAGTCTTTTCATTCAATAAAAAAGTAGGTTATTTAAAAAATTTTCCCGTTCTGGTGCGCGTAGTGATTATATTGTTATAAAATTCGCTTTTCTAAAATACAGTCCGTATCACTGGATCGCCAATATTTTGGTGAAGGGAAATATACTCTAAAATTCTTTTATTTACAATTACATTCCTTAACACTAGGATTATTTCTTTACAATTATATTCCTTAAATGTAGGATTATTCACAATTTATTTGCGCCGTATTCTCAACTCAAATATTCTTGTCCGACTAATTCTCCCTTCCACAAATATTCTATTTATATACAATTTTACAAGTATGTTACTATAATCAAATTCATAGTTTTTATATTTAATTCCTGTCTGCTTTCCCCGCTAATCGTTTTAATCGGCCTGCAGCTGCATGACGCGCCTGCGAATATGCTTTTGGTTTTTCCTTCCTTAGGGGATTTATTATTTGGGAAAATTGATCCGCGTGAGTGGCCGAGTAGGCAAGAGTCTCGACTACCAACTCAATGATCGTGGGTTCAAATCTCAAGTGCGGTAGAGTTTTTAATAAAGCCGAAAGCCTTAGATGCTAGTGCTTTAAGACTTTAGTCTTAGAATTTATTCTCTGACTAAGTTTATAATAATAATAATAATAATAATAATATTTGGGAAAATTACTTAGCCGGAATTAACTGGATTTGGGATTTTCGTTACAATATGTTAAAGTCTAGCGCTAGGCGAGATTATAGTGCCCTGAAAGCATGCTATTCCAATTATTGTAATGCAACCAGGCGTATTAAAAATTCTAAGGATTTCTTCTTGAAAAACTTCCAAACATCCGAAGCGTTTATAATAACTGACTTTTTTGCGAATTATTTTGGTGCAGTCCATCAATGTTCAAACAATTTGTCTGATAAATATCCATATTTGATAAGTTCGGTGGATATTTTTTGTCTATGTGCTTCTTCTTCGAAGAAGAAATATTTATAGCGCCGTCAACTTTAATCCTAATGGTGTTCCATCTGCTATTCTCGAACATTATGGTACATTACTATGTTCTTCCCTTATATTTTTAATGTTTATTTGAAAAAACGTCATTTCCCATTGGTTTGGAAGAGTAGTTTTATTCCTCCTCTTTATAAAAGTGGTTCTCGGAAACTTATTGAGAATCGTAGGGGAACTGCCAAAGTTAGTGCACTGCGAACTATTTGAATCACTGGTAACAAGAAGATTTACTCCAGTTTTAGGGCTAATTATATTGCTCTGCCAGCACGATTTTTTCAAAGGCAAATCAGCTGCGGCTAATCTTCTGAAGTGTTGTAGCTCAATCTACAAAGCATTTTTCGAAAGCTTTCGACAGAGTTGATCGTAGGCTGTCAGTCTATAAATTGCATCGCCTTGGTTTTTCGAACGGTATGATTGCCTGGTTCAGTAGCTAACTCTCTGGGTGCACCCAGTGGGCGTTGGTGCAGGGCAGTCATCTTAACCCGGTTTTATTTATTTTATATGTGAATGACTTTCTTGAGTGTATTCAATATTCACACGTTTTAATGTTTGCAGACGACGTTAAACTTTCCCTCCCCTTTGACTCAGTACACTAAAACTATTTTCATCTAATAATATACTTTTTCCCTTTGATCTGTGTTTACGGTGTCCAATCAATGGTACGAATTGTATGATGAATTCATGCGATGGTATGAATTGAATTCAAGAAAAGGATTGAAAGATGTCATTTGCGTGGTGTGATACATTGCCCTTTTATTATCGTATTGACAATCACAGCCTGGAAAAGACTTAGGATTTGTTTGGAGTTTCAGTTAATAAAGCTAGATCTCTTTTAGGGTTTATAAAAAGATTTTCCAAAGAATTCAAAGACCCACGTTACGAATTACTTGTGTAATTCCTTAGTTAGACCAACTCTTAAATAGTCGTCGGTAGTTTGTCTTCCTAGTTATAGATGATCTCTGGGAGTTTGTTCAACGGGATTTCTTGATGTTTACTTTGCGAGGTTTGGATTGGGATCTCACGCTACCTATTCCGTCTATATACAAACAGTTTGAAGCTCATTGACTTTCGTACTCTTGAAAAACGGCATGAAATTTTGGGCGCAACCTCCTTCGTTAAGCTAATAAAAGGAGATGTTTTTTCGCTGGCTATATTACAATTTATTAATATTCACATCCCCAACAGAGTCTCAAGACACTTTGTGCTCTTGCAGCTACCACAATGCCGAACCAAAAATGAGTTGTGTAAAATTTTCAACGATCATTTCCACTTACCTGACCTATCCGTTTTGTCCGTTAATAACATTAGTTGAATGCCGGTGTATATTGTTGATCTTATGTTTATTTTTGCTTGTAGTTTTTTTTTTTTACATTTTAAGTTATTTTGTAGCTTACAATTGGCTAATGATTTGTTCCGTAGCATAATTTAATTTATTAAATAAATAAATAAAGCCAACTATACTTAATGCGCGTGATTTGCCTATATCGTATATAAAATAACTTGAAAGCTTAACATCTTATACTGCTTTGAAAATTAACTGCTGTTGACTGTTATCGGTTGCTAAGGTTTTGCATATTCGTAAAGGCTTAAAGGTTCGCTTGCAACTTGGATTTGTACTCGTTGTCGATCCTCTGTGTTATTTGTGTACACTTTTTTTTCTTTTCTTTTTCTTATTTATTTATACATGAATTGTTGTAAAGCTAGTGCCGTGTGCGATTGTTGTTGTAAATTGTAATTTTTGTTTAGATTTCCCATGTACGTGTTATTGTTTAGATTTCCAAAGTAAGACCGTATTTTGTTTCTGTAAAAGTAATACAGTGGATTCTGATTCAGCACACAATTGAAACAACACAAGATTGTGCAAACGGCAGCTGAAAAGTTTTTTTCAATGAAAAAAAAAAGTTTTTGATAATTTTAAAAACAAAAAAATATATATATATTAATTTTTTTTTTTTTTCGTTTTTCGTCCGGATTAGTCAAGCCGAGATACAAGCTAAGACAACATCAGCCTGTGTCCCTATGGAGACAAGGTCTGATCTAATTACTACAGATAGAGATGATTTTAAAAATTTTTATATGAATGGCGCAAGCATAATAAGAGATCGAGGATGGTTGGGGGTGAAGT